AATGCAAGCAATAATGATAAAGTTTTTATGATTGTAACAATTTTAATGATATTAATTGTGACAAACAAAATATAGCATCTTGGCAATATAATAATAGTTCTATGTGTGTAGAGACAAATAAAAGTAATAAAGACATAGAAAAGCACGATTCAGATTTAAGGGCCTTACATTAGTTCAATTTTTTTTTTTTTTTTTTTTCTATAATTTAATACTCATCAACTTATTAATTTTTTTAATTTAGTAAATAAATTTTCTATTTCTAATAGCAAAGATGGAGCAAAAAATTATACTGATGATGAAGTAAGTAAATCCTGGACAAACAAGAACTATACAACAACAAAATATTATTATATTCATAAAATTAAACATATAAATTTTTTTTACTATAATAAGACATGTAATAGTGTTAATATTAGTCAAGATAAGGTGTTTGAACTAATTCAAACATTTGATAGTGGTGCTTTACCAGACGATATACTTTTAATAATTTCAAGTTCTCAATTTTCAAATGATCACCCAATACAGCGATGTGCCAATGTGAATAGTAGCAACAAACAAACTCATTTTGTTAATTATAAGGATACTGAAATATCTGGCGCACAAATAATCTCTGAACAAAATGACATAGCTGATGATCAGATGAGAGACAGAGTCTTTAATTATTGTATAATCTTTTTTTTTATGAATTATAAAATTTTATTAATTTTAACTCAAATTTTTATAAATAAATAGGAAAACCAAGAATTAATTAATATAAGTGATTTTAATTCTAACAAAAAGCGTCACCTTCAAGCTCTTCAAGATGTATTAAATAATCCAACCTATCAGCATAATATTTATTGACAAGTTGCTAATAAGAATCTTGAAGATTATTGCTCTAAAATAAAAAATCAGATGTATACAAGATATAAAATTCATAAATGTGTTTATAGAGTCGGCGATTTGGTGAAAATTCAAATTGCTAAAATTGATCGTGGACCTGGTGATCATTGTGCACTCCTCTATAAAATATTTTTAGTATTTCCTAATAACAGGTATCACCTTGTATGCCAATTTGGTGTTTTAAAGAATATATTTCCAGCTAGTGAAGTTCTGCCACTTGGACCAAAAGAATTTGCCGAATTGGATAGTCTTCTGATTTATAAAGTTATTAGCATCATTGAGGTCACAAGACTTCAATCCAATTCCTTCATGAGTAACAAAAGATATAATTATAGCGGTGATTGTCTTACCACGAAATATTCGTGTAGAAAAGCGAATGCTTTATGTGGTAGTGGATACCATCCAAAAAATTCCAAATGTAAAAATAGAGCTTAAGAGTTGAAAACTGAATATTATATCAAAAGGAAAATTGTAGGAGAAAAGGATTTTATTTCAATATAAAATCATGTATATAAGCTTTTTATTGCTTATGTTGTATGCTAGCATATCTTTACACTTTATTTACATTGATATAGTGAGAATAATGATTTTTTTTCCCTTCACTATGTGTAATTTTATGCTCCATATATAATACAATTCTGGTAAAAAAAAAATAAAAAATTGAA